TGTAATCATCTTCTGTAAAGACTTTGTTATGGGTGCAAACAATTGTGGCACAGGTTAAAAACAATAATTGAACAATTTCCTCTGGGAAAATGTACTTCAATTAGGTTGGATTTTCCAACATCTTCAAATTTAGATTAAGCTGATGCAGTAAAAGAAATTATTCACAGTAATGTGTTTTTACAGATCTAATCAGCGTGAAGCCTGAGTAAATTGCCTTTCATCTTAGATTAGTTGCCGTAAAGACGGTATCTAGCAAACCGGGAAAGAAGTGTTCTGTTGTCCTTGTCAAACTGAGCCCAGGATCAATGCAATGTCGCGAAAATGCAAATGTAATAAAGTACGGAGGGGCTCACATGACGAGGAGAAGGCCGTAGAGGTAGGAGTCTGAGAAGTCAGGAGGATAAATGAGCTTCAGAGGCAGCTCTGCGGGAAGAGACAGAAACATTACCCGGTGCAGAGGTGACCCACAGAAGGTTAAAAAAAATGTAAAGTAGGTCAGGACAGACGCCAGGCACACACACACATACACACAGAATGCGCTCTCATGACACGTGTGGCTCGACTATCTCATGGAGCTCAAACTGTTGAGGGATCATTTGTACCAAAGTTGTCCTGAGTGACATTCAGGAAATCCGTCTTAGACGTCCTTCTGGCGTCCAGCGCGGATCGTAGGGGAACGTTGTTCTCCAGGATGAAGTACGCTGCCAATGAGGAATAATTACAGAATAACTGTCATTCATATAACCAGGAAATATAACTGGTGTTTTTTTATTTTTAATGAACAAGATGGTTACATTTTGAAACAAATAGCGACTGCAAAATTATAATGTAAAGCAAACAAAATGCACCGATCCGATATCAATACCCGTATCGGTCTTGATATTGAAACAAAAACTATATTGGATATTGGTGACAATGTTCCAGATCCATAAGGGCAGATCTATTTAGTCTAATTCTATGCCTTGTACTCTGAGTGATGTCATTCTTTATATCTTGTACATTACTTGTACTAATGCGTAAATTATTTTCAACCTTTTCCAGAGGTATCATGATTTCTCTCAAAATGTCTGATTTTTCACTGGTTATTCTAATTTTTTTGACCTGCATCATAATGGATTTATATTCTTCTGTTCTCCAATTCACTCATCAAACCACTTAGAAATCATTTTACTTTTAAATTAATTTTCAACGCATCTTTCCATCTTAAAATCAACACATTGGTGCTGCATCACATTCAATTGGCATAAAAAAAAGAATTAATTACATAAATGCTGCAAAGCTGTTTTCTGTTTCACAACAGCTGCAAGGAAAAAATAAAAAGAGTAGTTCCAAACCACAAAAGCAAAAAATACTTACAGTCCATGTTGCTGAAACTGAGAAGCAGCACAGCTGGAATACCAGGACCTGGAACGTAAACGCAACAGATCAGGCAATTTGCAAAAATGAAAAGTAAACCCAACTCAACTTTATTTCAATAAAACTCAAACATTTAATTGTGATACCTAACACATTATCAGAAATTTAGAGTTACTGTTGGTTCTAGTTTGGGCTTAGAGTACTTTCACTTGTCTACTTTCAGAATGATTCTTTTCTTAATCTTGATTAAGAAACTTTTGTTTCAGAAACATCTGTGTTCATTTGGTTTGTCATGTTTGCAGGGAGAGGTGAAAGTCGGAGACCTTGACAGTGCAGTATGGCGCTCTGAGCATTTGGACTGATGTCGGCGTCAAAGAACAAGCAGTCTTTCTTCAGGTCACAGGTGAGGCATTCCTTTGAAAATGAGCCACTGGTCGATAAACTGCGGAGGAAATGGGGACCAAAATGTTCCCGTTATCCTTTCTGAAAACGGGGAAACAAACATAAAGCGGACTCGATGGTTTTCACCTGTATAAATGTCTCTGTTGTGGTGCCTTCTCAGAGCTCAGAAAGTATCTGTGGGAAGGAAAGCAGGGCTGTTAAACTAGTACAAGGTCACAGATCTACTGCATTTTTCTGGCTACTAACTCAATAAAACATCAGTTTGAGTGGGATTTATTGAGAGAATTGCAACAGATGTCCCAACATTTAGTAAAAAAAAAAAAAAAAGACACTTGCATGATGTTTTTGGTTTCATCGTAGGCTACGATTCTGATCACCTCCCAGTTTCCAGATGTCAAGTGACGAACTTCAACTGGGTTGCTTCTCGACTGAAATAGAAAAAAAGTAGCTTTTGTTTGCGTTTCAGAGTTGGACAAAGACCAAGGGAGTTATATTCTGTAACTAATCACTATGTATTCTGTAGGAAAGGGCTAAGGAATAAGGTTCATATTTTCTGGTAGGACTGGACGATACGGCTGTAAAACCTAACAAGGTATCAGTCTATCAATAATTATTGATTGGTCTTTTGTTTCAAATATCAGAAATACTGCCAAGCTGGTGGCGTGACCTTTCCTGCTTTATCCCACAGTTCTCACTCCACGCTGTTTTTTTATTTTTAAGCACTTATGAGACACGGTGGAAAAACCTGAAACTGCTGCTGCGCAAGTTACTCAACGGGTTGTTGCTAGGTAACCAAAGAGTGAGTTAGTTGATACCACCAGCCTAGCTTAGCTTGCTACATCTCTCAAAATGCTGTGCGGTTCTGGCTCAGAGTTCAGTTCATATTCTAAACATTATTGAATATTGATTATTCTACCAGCTGTATTATTTATTAATACTGATCACGCGTCTATCGTGATGTATATTGTTGTTGATTTATTGCCCAGCGTTAAATGGATCGACAACTATTGTCCAATTTCTCTGTTGTTGATAAATTTTGTTCTGAAATTACAATGAAGCTTCAGCTGGAATAAATAGTTGGTTCAGTTCTATTGGTTGTGAATCAAATGTTAAAATGTGGAATCCAACCTGCAGCAGAATACAGGGTGAAGACAGGAACAATGTTTCCTTGAAGGGATTTGATTTTAAATTACAGCAGCATTCGTTGGAAAAGCAGCATGGCTGGGATTAAAATCAAAGCTCCCCATGATAAGATCTCCCTGGAAATAAATCCTTTCTTTGCTCTGAGTCTTATTGCCTGGATATTTTCTGCTGCTGGAGGACAGAAATGGAACAAGAGAGACACGCGGAGAAAGAGGAAACAAAGTCTGATTTCAGTCACCTTTTTGGAGAACATGGCGACGTGGTGGAAGTCTCTGTGACCTCCATGTCTGACGGGCATTGTGAGGAAAATCCTGCTCAGGTCCTCCGAGAAGAGCGGCTCCTGACTCTGTGGGGGGAGAAACGGGGAGGCGAAACATTTTCAGCATGAATGCTTCCTGGCTTCATATCTGTCTGTTAATGTTTTTGGGTGATTCTTATCATTTGCCAAAATATTTGCGTTTATTTTTGCTTGCGGACGAGGTTTAACACAAACATCTTTAGTTTTCGCGTCATCTTCCTGCAACCTTTTAATAATTTCTCAGGTAAAAGAGATTGTCTTCTACTCAAATTTAGATACAGATGAACTTCTTCAGTTTTGGGGAGCTATTTCTAATAAAAACAGTTTCTCCCTTGAAACTGTATACTTACATAAAACTGTTAAATGATTTTAATTTCTTTATTTACCTGCCTGGTGAGCCATGTGTCTGAGGACTCTTCATGTCTCTGAGGAAGAAAAAGCAGCTTTTATTGGCATACATAAAAGATTTAAATAAAGAAAGTACATTTTTACAAGCAAAAATATTATAATAATAAAATACAATACAAAAGTAAAGAAAAACAGCATAATACATAAATAGAATCCAATTTATTCTCATGTATTGTTTGTATTGTGCTTGAATGTATTAAAATTACACTGACATGATTTTGTTTTGTTTTTTTCAGAAGATCCATAAAATTAGCTAGAAATATGAGGATAATACAAAAAAGTTACAGTGAAAAGCGCATATCTTTAAAAGTATTTGCATTTTTTTCAGAAATATATGTATTGGGGTACACAAACAAGAAAATACAGGAAAGTTAGCACATTAAATGTAAATGAAATTATTACAGGTTTCATTTTGTAAGTTTTATTGTGCTAACTTTTATTTTTATAGAAAAATTAGCATTCCCTGCGAAATCGCCGTGTGAATACTGACTACAGAATAATTTTAAGTCGATTGCAGAAATGTAAGAAATGGGAAAAATGCCTAAAGAAAAACAGTTTGAAAGGAGTGAAAACTTACAGTAAATTCAAAATTCCCACCTAAAGTCTTAGAAATCAGAACACTCACTGCTTTAAAAGCTAAACTGTAAGGTCACAGCAGTCTATATGATAAAATGAGCTTAAAAGCTAAAGCTAGCTGAAATACTAATGCATGCAAGTAGCAAGTTGACCTACAGTAAAATAACCCAAGCAGAGTGAAAAACCCATAAAGCTGAAATGAGCTAAAATGATAAAGCTAGCTAAATTACCAATCTAGGCTAGCACTAGCATGTTGACCTATGGTACCATATGCCTTGCAATGTGACAAAAAAAAAAAAACATGTAATGGCTAAATGAACGCAAAAGCTAAGGTTGGCTAGTTTTAGCTTTTGTGCTGAAGAGTTCCAAAGAGAAATATCCACATTTTCAAAAGCATGAAAAGAAAACGCTCAGACCTGGTGACAGACTCCAGTTGTTGCGTCACAGACAGTCAGAAGTGAGGTGTTCTGAGGACGGTTGACCCACCGCACAACAAGGCGGGTGTTGTTTATCCACTTCACCATGGTTATGTAAAACTCTCTGATAATCAGGTAGAACAATAAGACATAATGATTGGACATTTTGATGCTCTCAACACTGTGCAGATGTTTACTTGTCTTCACCTGAGTCTGATCTGATCTGGGGGATGGAGCTCCTGAGTGTTCGTAATGCCAAACAGGTTGACCACAAACAGCTTGACAGTTGGGTTCCTCTGACCGGCCTGAAGTAGAAAGCATAAAAACAAATGAGGCATATAAGGAACAAAAAAATGAATGGTGCAAATGTCTTAAGTCTTTCCTTATTTCTTCCCATTTTTATTCCAAGCAGTCTGACTTTGACCAGTTCCGTATGTATGTACTTAAGTTATTTTTCTATTTTTGTCAATTGTAAAAATTTGTGATGACGTGCTGCAAATGATGTGTTGGAAAGAGTAGGCACTTCTTAAAGAGACAGAGGCCCAATTTCAAGGCTTTAAATTGCAAAGAGAAATTTCTTTGAAGTCATGTTTGATATACATACATAACATTTTTATGAAGGAAAGTGACACATAGTGTCATTTCACAGCACTATTTGTGCCCAAAAAATGCATAATGCCTCCCATCAAAATTCTATTTTTCATCACAAATTTATCAAGAAACAAGAAAACATCATTTAATTTGAAAATTCCACAAAAAGATTAGCATGTTTTTTTCAAAAACAGCTCGGGCACTCATCAGATTCTACAAATCCTTACCATTGGGTAGGGGTACTGGATTCCTCGGGGGTAAGTGCTGCCAGTGAACTGCGGCAGAGCCATGTTGGGCACCAGGGTGTTGTCGATCCTCAGGAAGGCCAGCCGCTCTCCGTCAGGCGACCACCAGTGAGCCAGGTGTGAGTGGAGTATCTCCTCTGACAGAACAAAACTCATGTAAAATCCCCCTTGTTCTTTAATTGTCTGGTTAATTATATAAGCTGCCCCTGCGAGAAGTCTCAAAATTAGTCGAGAATAATCAACTGATTATACTTTGCTAAGACTAACATAAAAGCTGAATCACCAAATGTCCTTCATCTGCCAGGTTTTTTTTTTTTTTTGTGCTGCTGCTTGTCCAAAGCTTTCCCAGACACTTCAAGGATTGCAGAGGCTTGCTTGTTTTTCATAACTAATCTCTTTAGTTTGTCTCATCTGCTCTCCTGCACTCTGAATGCCAAAAACAAAGCTTTGGAAAAACTGATTTTTCACTGTAAACTGTATCCACCAATTGTGACTGTGACAAATTTCCCTCAGTATTATGTAAAATAGATTTTTTTTTCAGCTTTACTTTACTTACTCATCAAAACACATCTGGGATGTTGCCTTGATTTTTATTTATTTATAATTCTCTAATCTTCCGTGGCAAACACTCGGTTGTGCAAAACGCCTGGGTGGAGCTAGCGCCGCCTTTGTGGATGAAGCTTCTCCTCCGAGCTGTAGTTTCTAAGTTTCTAAGCTTCTGAGCTTTCGCCTCACTGACTCTCCAACTCAGCTCCTTCAGACTAGCCAGGAGCAATTAGCAAACACCTGGTAGAAGTGGGCATCTGCTGAGCTCATTATGCAAACTACTTTTTCGTGAAACACCGGTAAAGACGTTGTTAAAGGGTAAATAGAGGACCAATGTTGTGGTAACTTCCTGGAGGCAGAGTTTCCGAAAGAGCAGGAGTTCTTAAAGAGACAGAGGCCCAATTTGAAGGCGTTATATTACAAAGTCAAATAATATTTTATATAGGTAGCATTTTAGTTACTTGATTGTGCTACAAAATGTCATTATGTGGATGGACAATGTATAACGTTGCCCCTTTAAACATCTGAGGGAAGGATAAGTGTGGCGATTTCTCCAAGAATGAATCTGCATCAAACACTCATCAAATCCACAGTTTGCTTTGAAAGCCCAAACATCCAGAGAACTGTTCTAAATAAACCCACCTTCATACAGCCAGTCGGCTATCCCGTTGAAGATAACGCCCTCCATCCCAGAGGAGGTGATCCTCAGAGAGCTGCTCTTCACATCTGACTGATAGTAGATGTTGTTCTCAAATATGTAGATCTGAGGAGGAAGAGTGGACAATATCTTTATCGCTACAAGAAGGTATTTGTTCACTTTGGTAGGATTTTTATGGAACATTGATGCAGCTGGTCTGGTTTGGATCATTGACAATCTGTACTCATCAGATTGTCTGGAAGATTTGCCAATGCCCCTGAACAACATCTCAACTCTTCACAAAAGCAGATCCCTCAGAAAAGCCCAGGCAATTTTAGCCTTTAGGTCAAAGTGGGTTACTTCAGATTACTAACTATGTAAATTTAAGATGATTAAAACCTCCAGTTTGGATTCCAACCAATATCTGAAACAAGTTGTGATTCTTTGACAGTGGTTGCACTCTAAAACATCCCAAAGAAGAGAAAAGAAACTTCCTGAATAGCAGTAATCATCTAAAACTTAAGTAAAGTCATCATTAAAAACTGTAACAATGTAAAATAAGAACGGAAAGGGCTACAAAGCAGTGATTTACAGCTAAAAACTACAAAAATATCTCACTGTTGACAAGAAGTTTATAATACTGGTAGATACTTCCAATCACGAGGTTATTTTAAGAGAGATTTCTTTCTTTTTCTGTTGAAAAGTTAACATAAGTCAGAAAGTAACAGCTGTATAACAATTTGAGACTGTACAATATAGTTTTGACTTATTACCTTTCTATTCTATTGCACATTTCCACAGGAGTGATTTTAGTGAAACTGCTGAAATGTAACTGCTGTCAATTCATCTAAATTTCTATATAAGGTCTGGTGCTTTGTGCTCTTAGTAATAAATGCAAACCCTAAAACAGTTAATTTTACTGTTTACAAAATGTGATAGTTTCAGTATAAAGTGTGTTGACGTGATCATAAAGCAGTATATTGAAATAAGTTTTAAAGTAAGTTTTTTTATACTCCACAAAAAGTGTAAGGAAAAACAACTTGTTTTGCCCACCTAATTCCTCTCAATAAGCTGGCTGAGCAGGACAAAACGTAGACATGAACACAAACACACTCAGACAGAGAAGGTAAACAAGCAATATATTGTTCATATACATCGAAGCGGCTCCCTCTGAAGAGATGAAGAATTTATGGCAATAACTCAAGCGAAGGAAGAGGGAAAACGAAGGAAAACGAGGGAATATGTCTTACCAGCTGCCGTCCCTGCCTTCCCCAGGCTGCATGTTGGAGAACAGAGTTTTGAACCTCAGGTGGGTTCAGCTCCCATACCTCCCTGATGAAACACGACAACATCAACAACCGCCATCTGTTTCAGCGACAGAGGAGCTAAAGCCATTCCTTACCTCGTATTGATGTTGTACACAATGTACGATGCCGTGTATGAGTATCTGTACACCTGCAACGACAGCAGAGACAATCACCAAAAGCAAACACTGATAGTGTTGAGGCTTTTTGATCTTAGCCACTCTGAGTAAATAAAACTGCAAAAGCTAATGACCCTGAGACATCCAGGAAGTAATAAAGTATATGACACAGTGAAAACGCTGCATTCAAATCTTATATTTTAAACTAAATCCACTGAAAGTAAAATCTTTTAATCCTACCATTATGTAAGTAAATTATAGTTTGTTTGCCTTATTTGGCATAAATAAATAATTTAATACCTATTTCCTTAAAAAAATATTGTTGAGCAAATCTTCTTTGAGTAGAAATGTAAATAAACGTGTAACCTGTGACAGTTTGTCCCAACATCATCTTTTAAAAACCAAAGGAAAAACAACAAAACAGAGATCTGTAATAAACTAATTGTTTTTCATCAACATTTATAGATTAAAGATTAAGAAGTCTCCATGTCATATTACATTTATACTCCAGGTAAAATGGAAGTTAATTTATCAGAACTTCAGAGAAACTTTAGCTAAACAAAAAAAGGCATAGTACATATATTTTAAAAATCCTAAAACTACATTTTTTTCAAAATGGGACTGTTGGCACCAATTGTCCCTCTGGTAACTGCAACAAATACAATCTTAACATTTTTAGGTTGGTACATAGATGTAGCTACATAGATGTAGCAGAGTTCATGGTTGAATTCTTTAGTGTGAGACAAAAGAGAAAATCCACAACCAAAGTAATGCTAAAACATTACTATGACATTTCTTGCTTTGTGAATTTGTTGATTAAAGTATTCAACTGTAAAGCTGAATTATATTATTTTTTGTAAACTCTTGCATTCATGCTTGGCTAAAACGCTGGACACTAGAATCACAAGCACCACCAGTCAAAGTTTTAAAATCGGGGAACATTTCTCCAATCCAGAAGGAATTTCTTGACCCTGAAAGCCATTGCTTCTGCACAGAAATGCTCAAAAGCCTCTTTTCCATAACTCCTCAACACGCAGAGCACCTAGTTAGTGACATGCACTGATTCAGTAGGCAGGTCAGATGATTTAGTTTCCTCCAGTGTACTCTGTCTATAAAGTTGAAAACGTGTTCGAGTCTGCACCAAATGTCAAAATGACAGATAGCTTTCAGCTGTTTTCAGTCATACTTTTAAAATACTGGAAAATATTCGGGGAATTGGGGAGTTGTCTAACAATATAGTACCCACCAAGGCCAGAGGCATTAATTCTTGAAAGCCCGTCCATGTGGCTGAATAAAAATAATTCTGCAAAGAGTGGGCCAACATTCCAACATAGTGATGTAAAAGAGGGAAAAGCAGATCTTACTGCCCGAGCCTGCACAAGCATTAGTAACATCTATGATTAGGGCCACAGTCGGTTTAGATTGTTGGGAATCTTCCTTTAGAAAAGAGCATTTTTTATTTCAGAAGGAACTGAAAGCTTCACTAAGAGGTGATTCTCTTTTGCCAGAGCAACAAATGAAAGTGGAATTTAATTAATTAAGGTGAATTTTAAGGTGCACTCTTCCTTTCAAATGAGAGGCTGACAAGCTAAGAAATTATATTGGCAAAGCAATCACTGGAGAGCATAATGTAGAACACACACCCTTTGCTCTATCAGCTGCAGCCGTATTTCCAGATAACTGATGGAAAGCCTTCACTGTGGGGAGAAAGGAAAGCCCTCCTGCAGGTTGACTGATGGCACAAATATTACTGGGAACCCGGTGTTTAACCCCCCCCCGAAATTATGCAAAACAAATCAGCACCTGCTCGGGTGCAGGTGGTACAATTTGTTCTCAGAGGGAACTGCAAGAACTTATGAGAGGAGCAACGGATTTATTCAGCCCTCAAAAATCCAAATTATCAGAGCAGCCCTTTGCCAAAGCAGAAAAATCACTTGTCAGAGAAAAGAAGCTGGCAAATATGAATAGAGACATCACAGGTGGGCGGTGTGTGTATGTTCTTGTTTTTATCATGTCATGGGGACCTCCTTAAGGGGACCAACTTTTAGGTCCCCATGACGTGACTGTGTAAACAGATTGATATAAAAAAAGACAAAAATGTGTTTCATTGTTTGAATTTATAAATAACGGAGTATGAAACAGAGTGCATAAAAGACTTTAAAAGTGTAAACATTTGTGCAAATATTTAGTTGACTAATATTTAACACTACAGTTTTGGAACAGTTTTAAGACAGCTCTATATATTTGTTTATCCAACTTTTTCAACTACACTTATTTTGTAATAAAAAATCATTCAACCACCAAGGGGCTCTTTCACAGGAAGTGACTCATTGGACGTCAAAATTGGAAATCAACGAGGAAAGTGCTAATTTTCATTTAGAACAAGCACATGCTAGCAGCAAGCACGATGGAGAAATTTCTTCAAACTCTGGAAATTTTCTATGGAAAAGAAAGATTTTTCCTGGGGGTTCTGGGTTTGATCAGATGATGAATTCTCATAGAGAACCCCTTGGGCTTCAGCCATCCCCAATTTTACAACATTCAGACTGTCGGTTGACACACAGCAGCCTCATGAACATAGGCTGCTGTATTCATGAGGCAAAATAGGTCCCCCAAAAAGTCCTATTTTGGGGGACCTTTTGATCCCCCAAAATAGATCTTACCTCAGGAACCATAAGTTGTACTTGGATGACTAAGGATGCAGAGGAATCAGCACTAAAATCATCAGTGTATCCCTTATTTCAGGTCCCAGGGGTACTAACAACCCAAATTTGGTGACATTATGAATTTCCAATGCATAGTGTCACTGGACATTATGCATTATGCACATGGACAATGGATAAAGTGTATCATCCAGCGCAAAATGTACTGGACAATGCAGCGCAGCGGGAGTGCACACTGCATAGTCCAGTGCAGTGCGTACTGGATTTTGCAGTGCGGTGTGCACTGGATTGTCCAGTGCATCTGATGTGTTTCTTAGAAACTTAATGAGTCCTCATGAAGTAGTGTCCAGACAGGTTGATGACCCTACTTTTGAAATTGAGTTATTTGAAGCTGTGTACCCTAAGGTAATACAGCCATAAATATTGTACAATATTATTTATGAGTCTATAGAACCACTAGAAAGTGTGGTCCCCACAAATGATGAAAAAATTTGGTCCTCATTCCCCATGGAAACCAGTCTGTGTGTGTGTGTGTGTGTGTGTGTGTGTGTGTGTGTGTGTGTGTGTGTGTGTGTATGCATATGAATGATGGCAGCACTGGGTATTTCAAGGGAGTACAATGGAAATCTGGCAGGATATAAAACAAACGGTGAGAAGAATGGCTGACACCCAGGATGAACTGCAATCAAAGCTGGTGTGATTATAACGAAAAAAAAAAAACTAAACACCAGCTGTTATGCTGGGAACCTTTTATTTATAGAAATCAGCTTTAATTTGAAGCTCACCTGTTTGACATCATATGCGAAGAGTGCATACTTCAGATCTGGAGAGAGTGAATATTTTGCCACCTTGAAAGACACCTAGAGGTAAAGAGGCGATCATTAAAAATAGGTTTAAATGGGATGAATTATGTCAGACTCACAAAAAAAGATTTCACTTGAAATGCTCAAAACTATTCATCAAACTTCAAAGACTTGGATCTCATCATTAAAGATGAATTGTCTGAATAGTAGTGGAAATAGGCAAAAAAATAAAAAATAAAATAAGATTCACAAACGTTATAGAGTGGGGTTGACTAAAAAGTAGAAATATTAGCTTTTAGACATGCCATTCTTTTAATAAATCTAAATAAAATCATGCAAGCTTTTCAAAATTGACAATTTTGGAGCGATGTCCATCTCATTTCCTAACAGGAATAAAAAAGGAAAATAGATGGTAGACAAGGATGGAAGAGCTGAACAAAGGCAGGTAGGATGAAGGATGAAAGGACTTTAGGGAATAGAGGAGGCAACCAAATTGAGGCACAAAGAGGAGAGAAGATAATGTGGGTGGAAGTAAAGTACAGACATGGAAAAGGCAGACGAGAACACATAAGCAAAAAAAAAAACCCGAAGGAATGGTAGATGGGAAACAAGGGAAAATGATGGAAGGAAAGAAGGAAAGAGAGAAGCATTGTCGGCCATTTTTGATGTGTATTGATAATTTTTAACAATGACACTCGATACCATCGTACCGATAACAATGGTATTGATATACCATCTATTGTATTTTTTTTTTGGGTCATCGACAATGTTTTTGTTTCATCAACAATACACAGCATTATATCCCAGTGGTGACAAATAGATCTGTACCTAAAGACAGGATACATATTTATGATGTGTTCAGAGAGATCCTGATGTGTTTCTGAGGTTTAGTTCTTAGTTTATATAAATCAAGAGGAAAAAGTTCAGACACATTTCCATCTGTTGCGTCAGTTTCTGAAACAAAACGTCATCTTTTCTCGAAAAGTCCCACAGCTTTGAGGAAACGGAAGCAAGCTGCAACACTGGCTCAAATCCTAACCTCCAGTTGTCATCAAAGCGGGCTTTAAAGCTTTCCAGTGATTCTCGGTGAAACGTGGGTGAGACGATGACAAAAATGGACTGATTTGTTTCAGCGCACAAGGATTATGGAACAGCAACAGGATTAACACGATGCCAGCAGAAAATGGCTAAATTTAACAGGAAACATCAATTATTCACTTGAGCTGCAACTCAGGATGTGAATGTATATTCCTGAAGGTAACGCAGCTGCAACCATTGTGGAATATCTGGCAAAGTTTGAGGTGAGATTGTTAAAAGTTTTCTTGGTTTCATTCTCGTGAATATGCTAAATAAATCTAATTTTAAAGCCATACAATTAGTTAAACTAATAATGTGCATAAATCGATATCTTTCATCCTCAATTTGTGTTTTTGCCACTCTTACTCCAAGATTTAATGCAATCTCTAATTTCTTAATACAGTAAAACTGTTACAAAACTGCTCCAGCCTGCATGAAATCAACTTTTCGGTAGTTAAAACGCAAAGTGTTATTGATCCCAGTTGAAGTTTATGCACAACAGTGGCTAAAGAGCATTTTTTTAGTCGTGAAAATGTGAAGAAATGAGCAATAAGAGCGGTAAGAATAACTTACAAATGTGGCGTTCTTCAAGATGACCTCTGTCTCATTCAGGGCGAAGTTGAACATGACGACGTCACCGTCTCTGTTTCTGTACACCACCTCCGAGTCTGAGAGCAAAAGCAAAGAAAAATATCAGGAAAAAAAAATACAAAAGGAGCGTTTAAATAAAACAAAGTAGCCTAAATTTGTGCTTTGAGTATATTACTTCTGTATATACTTCAAATTGTTGCACCGGACAACCCTTCTCAGATTACAACAGTTGCTTCTTCCATTTAATTGTTAAGGTTTTTCCATTTTGGCATTGTTAATACTCACCTGTAACTTTCTGATTTTAATCCCCCATTATTTACATCATAAGTTCTTCCTGAGGCGCATTGCTGTTAGTTTTCCTCTTAAAAAGGGTTTGTTGTGTATCAAAGTATGTTTTTGACTTTCCTTATCTATTTTTTATGTCCTCAGGTGCATATATCTTTCTGTCCTGGCATTGCTTTGAGAAAAATTTGGTTCCAATATAATTTTTGTTTTTTTTGTGTGTGTTTTTTTCACACTTCACTGTTTCCAGATCCCGAAACGTTTTGTTGCGTCTGACAAAGGTAACCAATGAATGCTTCCAAAAAACTGACATCAAAAGTGCAAAATGCTCACCTTAATTTCATGAACAATTTGCAATAATAATTTAATAATAAAAATCAGCAAGAATAATTAAAAACACATTATGAAAATGAGCGCCCACCAGATAATAGGAGTTATTCACTACAAAGAGTCCACCACTCTGATTTCACATTGAAGTGTTGATTCAGAGCTTTTTTATTTATTTTTACCTTCTGCTTGGACTGGCCTCTCTGTCCATTATAGGTTCAAACAGCGACACACACACACACGCACACACACACACACACACAATGTCCTGGATCTGTCTCATTACGGTCCGGTCCTGGCTGCAGCCAGCAGCGAGAGGCTAATGATATGCAGGGAATAAAGAAAGGCTGCTTCATACAGCTGCATAGGTCATGTTCATGTCTTTTTGAGAGAGAAAAAAACAGCAGATTTGTGTTTTTTTTTTTTTTTAAATCAGTCTGTTTAATTTACAAAACACAAGAGCTGAAAGTCCAAAGTCTCTGAGTTTTTCATAACAGTTCCATTGAATCCCGACAATGTATATCTTCATAAAGTCAGTTTAGGTCAATAAAAAGTCTTTACATTTGTTTTTTTCTATTTTCTAAATATGCCCACCTTATCACCTATGCATTTAAATAGACAGGGACATTTTAAAAAGTCTTTTTTAAGCTAGCTTTACATCATTTTTACAAACGTCTTCTAGTGCCCGAAATCCCAACATGCATTCTTCCACTCATATTTCACGCTGAACCGTTTAATACACACTGAAACGGAGATTAGTTTTTAAATTCCCCGAGTCATTTTCTGTCATTCTAATCCAGAAGCAGCCGCAGCCAGGCCTTTCTTCACCTTGCCTCCTTTTGGAATCTCGGATCTCATTTCGGAATGAATTTGTAGCTGATTGCGGCTGAGAGAAATCACTCTCCTGCCGCTCAACGGGTTCAGGCTGGGCGTGTGCGCTAATGCAGTTGGAAAAAGAAATCCAAATGTGGATCCACATTTCTCAGTAAGTCGACTGGCAGCAAGGGTTATGTGAAGGCGCCTCAAATTTAAATGCGCAGGGAAATTAGAGTGTTTTTAGGCTAGCTGTGCATCGTTTTTACGAAATCCTAAGTGGTGCATTTTCTCTTGTAAATCAAGCAAGCTTTGTGTCTGCATTCACCTTTATTGGCCCGTTGATGAGCCTGTTTGAGTTGTGTTGACAGATCCATTATCCTTGGTAATTGAGCTTTTTCAGCAGATCCTTTAAGGCGGCCTGTTTCTGCTCCAAACTGGAACAGGAATTAAGCCGTCCTTAATTTGTTCGCACTATAAGGTGTTTTGTCTCTTACAGACTTCTTCTGCCAACATTTGTCACACTAAAATTAGTCAGATTATCAAAAATAATAGTATCAGAGAGGCTCCCTGGCATAATCGCCTGTTTAGGATCTTGCAGTAATATCTCAGACTTAAAGGTGAAGGATGAAACTTTTAGAAGCAATGGTTATTTTTACATATTTGTGAAAATTGTCCCCATTTTGTGACAGTATAACATGAAATAAAATAATAATAATAATCTAAATCCTCCGTCTCTTCCCTGTAGTCCTACAGTCATATGCAGAAATGCACTGCTTGGTCAGAAACAGCCAATCAGAGAAAGGAGGAGGGTCTTAGTGCTGTCAATCATGCTCGTGTAAGCTCTAGTCAAACTAATGGCGGAGAAAAAAGTTACCATTAAAGGAAAACTGTTTCTCCATCACCATCGGTGGCCATGCTAACTAGCTAACATGAAGCTTTTGTATAAGTTGTTGATGTGCAGTTGGAGTAATTTATGTAGGACAACATACTTATTAGATTTTTGTGCAACAATAAACCTGCAGAAATCATGTTTATTGCTGTGTTGCAAGAAGCTTTTAGTGTGAAAATAACTATTTTCCCTTTTTTTTGGAAAGCGTATTATCAGCAGGTGGAGCTGTTCAAGCAATTTAACAGCAGACTGATATAAAAACAGAGGAAAGTTGGTTATTTACCGATAATATTTATATTTCCTTACCCTTTCAGCCTTTTAGCACCATTAACAATATAGTGTATCAGCGAAACATCCCACAATTCTCTGCTGCATCATGGTCAACCTCTGACACTCCCCAAAACATGTTGGCTAGTGTTGGCTTTTCATATTAGCAGTGGTTACCAACTGAGAGCTGGCCTCAAAATATTTGCATAAAATTGCACAAAATTGCACAAAATTGCACCTGAAAGAACGTACTATAAGATGTTTTGTCCCTTATAGTACATCTCACATTACAATATAATGTGAGATGTAAATATCTCATATTAAGTACGTTAAAGTGAGATGTCCAGCTAGAGTGATGAAGGTTTTGGGCTCAGTAAACTCTGCTCAGGTAGTTTGATAATTATAGGACTCACTATTTCTGCGTTTGTTGAGGTTTTTCTAGTGGAGTTAGTTTCCTGTTTGTTGTCCTGCATAAGCGTCTGGATTCCCCCCTCCCCTCTCCTTGTTCTTGGCTAAATCCAATGTAATCTATTCAGAGCAAACAGTGTAAACTTCATGAATAAATCACTCATACACAATTCAGGGGTTAGTCTGAAAATGCACATCACACAGCGATTATACCGTTCCCGTGGAAACATCAGATCACCGTAGCATCCATAATGCTGATAAGCAGGGAAACAAAGCGTATATTTTCAACTCTGCTTTAGTTTGATCTGTCTAACAGGTGCTGAATCAGATTCAAATGCAAACCGAGAAGAGGGTTTTTCATTCTAACCTTCACAATAAGCTGCATTTGCTCACTCAAAACAAATTGTTCTGTTTTGAACTTTATCACCAAAGCCAGTAGAGTATGAGATGAAGCTGCTGCGTGTTCGGGTTGAATTTCCTCCAATATCAACTCCTGGCGGCTGCTTCCCGCTTGTGAATAATCCTTCTCTCTGTTGATTTTTTTGAACTTTAAAAACCTTCCCTGGTTGTTCAGCTATAACAGTTGCTTATCTACGGTCATTGCTTTTGTGTGTCCACTCTGTAATCATGTTACCAAAACGCCAATTTTCACAGGAGTGATAACACTGTTTTCATAAGCAGCACCTTTTTTTTCCCTTTTCCCACTTTAATCCTATATAAAACCAGGTTTCTACAAACACCATTATTTGTAGAAACTATTTTCTTATTAGAATAATGTGGAGGAACGCATCAATAATCCCAACTGCGACCAAGAGTGAGGACAGTCTTGTTGACAATATAAATTCAGCAAATAAGAAGGCAGAACTTCCTGCAAACCTTCACAATAAGAGCCTTACATGTAAATAAACTGTAAACTGATAATTGTCCTGGGTTCAGACTGAAGAATTCATCAAATTCATCAAATCATTTGATGAATTTAATAAAGGACGGTTGTTAAATCCAATAATATATTTGGCAACTACCCTTTACGAATAATTAATATGAATAAAAATGCTATACAATATTAACACTACTTGTATGATGTTGATGACAACATTTATGTGTTGTATTGCCTCAGAAGGTTTTCTGCAAACCAAATCTTAGTTTTCCTCTTGTTTCTAAGCAGCACTGATGTGAAACATTAATTCCAATAATGTTCAACTCTTTAATTTAATTTTTTATTTTTTTTTATTAAGACTGAACTCTGCAAGCTTCAATCTCCCAGCTTGACTCTCTTTCTATGATTACGTTTTCAAAGCCTGGCTTGGACGCCTCCACACTGGAGATGCTTTACGCTTGGTTTCCTGCAATTTATGAACAGCCATTTGAAGAAACGTAGGAAATCATTTCATACGCGTCCCCCTGTTCTGTTAAATGTCGGCGCGGCCACCGCTGAGACCCAACTCTGATGGCGAAAATAAGTCTGAGGTTGTCAAGAAATGCAATTTCCATCGGAGGCTCGGAATTAGAGCTGCAGTGAAGTCGGAGCCGGAGCCGCGTCGTCTGCACCGCCTCTCGGCTTTCATCACACCTGATGGAAACTACTTTTACAGCATGCGGCGCGTCAGGCTGCAATTCCCCCCATTTCATCATCAATCTCAATAACGCAGCTAATGGGACAGCTGACCCTGTGGGGCTGAAAACAAATCATCACAGTGGTGCAAACAGCTCCAGTCGGGCTTCCTGCAGTTTGGACGGAAGGCGAACTCAAAAAAAAATCAAAAAAAAAAAAAATAATTCATTCATGTTGATGTTATTTCTGATGAAATAAGAACGCATGTCTGAAGTCTAGGAAAAAAAAGACTTTTGTGTTAGTGGTAGACATACTTTTCTTACTTAAACAAGTGAACTCCTTGATGGACTGGTCTGCATGCAAACCGCTCAATGTTTTGCCTTAAAAGAAGCTAGATGTTTGGATTCAGCATAGACATTATCAAAAATTTATAGAGATCAACTTTTACAGCTGCATGTAGCCAGGTGGTCACTTTGAGATTTGTCTGCTTTGTTATCAGAAAGGGTAATAAGTTTGGAGTTTTGATAGAAAAGTTA